CACTTTCTACGTCAGAAAAAGCAGATTACTGTTACTGACGCCATATCGAAAATTATGATATAGATTTTCTCGTGAGTGCTTGTGCCGTGTGCCCGTGGAAAATTGTTGTTCAATCGTTTTCCGAGTAGATATTTTTCTCAATCTGTCAGTTCACTTTTGATGATCTTTTTTATTGCGAAAAGTTGCAAGTGTGAAAAAAAACGCGCACACGACCGCCCACCCACACACATGATTCACATCAAATGAATCCATCATATCCACCATATAGTCAGTCAGCGGAAGTAACACATTCCATGACCAATCATTTGAGATATGTATACACATTACACATACATATATGTTTTCAGTGTAAGTTGACCTAGGGACTGTGTAATCATTGTGCTTTATTAGCGTAACTATGCATTGCATAACTTTTATTATGTTTTACTTTTCACTCGCTCCACTCTTTTTTTGTCTCACCGTTGTTGTCTGGCAGCACGCACATAAAACGGCACCAGTTAAATGTGGTCTAACATCAAAAAGTTCGAAAAAACAGAAAAGAGCACTTAATATAAAGACATGAGCAATAAACAACAGCAATCACATAGCAAGAGTATGAACAGAGTGATGCTGGCGATAGAAAGTGAGAAAGTGGGTGATATAGACTGTAGCACACAAAATTTGTTCCAGATTAATTCACACGATTCAAGGCAATTGTGTCAGTAACACGAAAGCATCGTGAATTTTTTTCTGCTACTTTTGCACATCCCACGTCCAAAACACTAACCAAATGTTGTTTGTTTGTTTTGCTACGATTCTCAGCATTTCACGGTCACCAAAAATCGTTTCATATGGCAAACACCATAAGATTGTTTGGATCTTAATTGATTTTTATTCAGTGCTAAAACGACAGTTCCGGATATTTAATTTAGTATTCTGTGAACTAAGCGACAATTTATCCGTATAACGTCATCATTTCACTGGGTTCTTACAAACTTGATCGTAGAACCCAACACAGTATAAAAGCTACGGCCTATGAAATAGATACAGGCTGACATTAAAGCTTTTATCGTTAATGGTATGAACTGTTGGGATTGGTTTCGGAAAGCGTTGCATTTTATTTAATGTACACAAATAGTAATCAGTTTCGTCGATCATGTGCCGTAATCAATGATAACATTCAAATTAACGAAAATAGATATGTCAAAAATATGGTGTCATGCCTTTCGATAGCGCAATAAAACCAATCATATCTTTCATCATAATAATGGCAATACCATGCTATTTTATGTCACTGTCGATCAAAATTTTATTTAAAAAGAGAGGGAGCTTTTCATCTGACAAATGGTCGTACTTATTATAAGGGCTTAATGGTTGCCATATTCATGACCTTCATATCGAATGACATAGAATTATACATAGGCACTGAAACCTATAAAATAATGGACAACAAAGATAAATCGGATCAAAATGGAAAGCAAAATGGCAACAACAACAACAATTTGTTTTAGTAGTGACAGTAGAAGAAATTTGAATTTAAAATCAATTTAAAACAAAATCAGCAAAAAGCATCGATAAAGTGCTGTGAATTAAGCAAGATTTATGAACACAGAAATCCCTGAGATATTCTGCGTCACATTTGTCAATAATATTTTTTATGAACACGTTGTGTTGTCTATTTGTTCCCCTATAGCTTCATCCTCTCTCTCTCTCTCTCTCTCTCTCTCTCTCCCTTGAATTTGCAAAAGATTTTACATATTATCTTCCCTTCGATTATGATTTGTTCCATCGGATTCATTGAATCCTAAAAAAATACGATTCATCAATATCCAGTTTATATTAAAAAAAAACTTTCTCAGCATGACGTTCATCCCAGTATTGGGTTTGGTTAGAGTTGATTTACGCAGTGTCGACAGAAAAATAGCATGCAATTCTTGCTCATAGATTACCATGGTAACGGTTGTTTTTCTTCCCTCTGTCCGAAGAATGAAGATAATAATTAGCATTAAAATCGAAAGCGTGAGCGTTCACACTTGAATTTCAACAAACAACTGCAAAACACTTAAATCCAAAACAATATCATCCGTACCAAAAGAATTAGAGTGATTTGTTTTCCAATTAAACCACCGGTTTGGTTTTGCTTCATTTGCCAACTCATTGGAAATTCGAGATGTAACAGTTGGTGATGATAGTTTTATCCGGGCATAAAAATAGAATGTTTGCTCTTCTTTTCTCGAAAAAAAAGGGAGAGAGAGGAAAGGAGTAGTGCTTTTTAAGTTGTTGATATTAGCAAGAACTATTTAATTGGTTCGTCACTTCCGAGAAGGGAAGCACACCACTCTATCAAGAATTATATTGATTTTGATGGTTTCGCTTACCAGCTAGTCTTTTGTTGAATAAAGCCATAAGTGGTCTAACGAGCTACGAAGAATTTCAAACTATTATCCTTTTTTGTTGTTCGGTTTGTTGAATGGTAGCCGGTAGTGAATGAAGTCGCCTCTCAAAATAGGATGGCTGAGTGGGTTTCGCATTATTTTTTCTCATTCTTCTTCGTATTTTTCTTCGTCTTCGTCTTCGTCTTCGTCTTTTCAACATATTTCGCACATACGTGACATTATTACGAAAATTGTGTGGTGAAGACTTTGATTCGGGTGCGTCTTTAAGATTTAATTTTGTTCAGACGCGTCGAACGGACTCAAATACAAACAAATTGGCAGCATGTTTGCAAGCCAGCAGCCAGAAAAAAAGAATCCAGCATCTCTTATGGTCTCTCCATTCTCATTAATATTTGAACCAATGCAATATTTTTTTCTTGCTCAGTTTTGTTTCTGCTTCGGCTGCCATACACTTTAATTTAGACAAATGTTTTGGCGTGCCGATATGCGTCTGAAATAAAATATCGTTATGGAATTCGTACGAAAAGTGCCTTCGAGAACTGACACGAGATATTACATGAATAGCAAAACGACGAAAATAACAAAGAACCAACGGAAAAAAGAAACGAACAAAAATGGGCGAACGATGAGAAACCTAACTAGAATGGGATGGCACGTTTTTACTAGTGGGGAAATCCAATTGTACCCTTGCGGTTGGCATTTGTGCGAAAAACTCAACGATGCGATAAAATGAAATGCCACACGAAAATGATTACATAACATGTTTGTGTTTGAGTTTTTGTTCATGTTTATGTTTCTGTGTTTGTACGAATACTCTTTTTTTCCATATTTTTCATTGCATACAAAAATAATATACACATAATGATGAATAGAGTGAACAAGGTGAGATATTTTGAAACATGAATATATTCCGGTAATATACACCAGGGGCTGCAGTTCAAATTAGGAAATGGAAAACCGAAAATGTCAACAAAGAAAGAAGAGAGATAGGCAGAGAGAGAGAGAGAGAGAGAGAAAGAGAAAAAAAGAATGAAAAAAACTTCATTTGGGTCGTTACCGAGCGGAATCGTTGTAAATAACGCATACTCTAAAATATCATGGGATCGACACACAAAAAGCGTACACAGTCCGTTCCAAAAAATGTGGTGCAGATTCGTTGCAGCCAGATAGTCAATTTTTTGTTGTTGCAAATATATTCAAAATTGATCCCAATTATACACATGGTTTCACGGAAAAAATTTCGACGCAATGATTAAATAGGTATTAGTTAGGATCAAACATGATGTTTATTTCGATTTGGTTGGAAATTTTTCTCGCCTCAATTCAGTGCAATTTTTTCGTTTCGTATTGTGTCTATTACGATGAATTTGGTTATAAATCCGGAGGTTAATTGCTGGTTGCCATCGTTACTAACCATATTTCTATAAAATATTGCTCACTGGCCCATGTGTTTACGATTCGTTTGCGAAATTCAATATTTTTACGGAGTATACAAATCAATCAATTTCATACTTCATGCTGATTTATAGATGTCTCAAATCTCTTCCCAATTGATAGTTATGCAAAACTATTTCTTTAATATATTCCATTTCTTCAATGGAAATGGAGTTGCGTTAGTTTTTTTTTTCAATTTATTCAGAATGTCATTCTTGAAGGCACAATTCTTTAAAATTGAGATGAAGTGGATTCGGCTTATGATAGCTCTCTAATATGTTTGTGTTGCGCAGTTTATCGCCGTTCGACTATTCGAAATAACCGAACCTGCTTATATTTATTTAAGTCTAACTGTCTATTGTCAGACGTGTATGTATATTTTATATTGTGAATTGACTTCATATGGTTTTGCACGTACACATGTCCCATTGAGTGTTACGATTTTCTTGCGTTGGAGACGATGGTAAAATCGAAAGATTATGGGGCAATTTCGGCAATTGCACGAAAACGACAAACGTCATGCACACCACACTACGAGAGAAGAATGAAAAAATGTCACACAATGAATTGAACATAGCATAAATGGTACAATTTGTGTTCAATATGAACGTTAATAAATTTTCCGATACAGTCATTTTGTGATGCTGTACAGATTGAACTTCAAATTGATCAATGACACACATAAATAAAACGTGATCCAATCGATGTTTCAATCCTACGCATTTATATGTGCAACGTATGCGAGGCACATTTTTTCATCTTCCTTTTCGCCTTTACATGACTTTGATTCTTTTGTGTTTGTTTTGTGCGAGATACATAAATATATATATGCATTTATCATTCCATGCCACTTGTTAGACATACGCGTATTTTTTCCGCTGTCAAAGCAAATATCTGATTGAAAGAGTGTGGTTTTGTTGTTTGCTTCCGCCTTAGTCAATATCAACGAAAAAAAAATACTCATCTCTAGATGGCACATTGTTTCCATCCAGTTAGGCAAAAAGGAAAATCGAAACGAAGTTGGATCGATTAATGACATAACATCAACAGTGCATATTGATTGCTTTTCATACATTGATTTTACGATCGCTCTTCCTTTTTCACTGGAAGGAAATTATTTTTAATGAGATAATGAACATGATCGTTATTTACTTATAATATTTTATTAAATTTCTTGTGTTTTTGTTACAGAGCTCGGCCGCCCCGTTATATATCCAAGATCATAATAGCTTTTATATGGGTTATATCGCTCGCATTTTCAATACCAATGGCGATTGCATTGCGTGTGGTTAAAGAGAACAGCTATCAAGTGTGTAAGTTAATTATGTTATAATTTTGTGAACGCCACATGTCGCCAATCATCAGTATACTATATTCATAGTACATTCACGAACAAATCTTACATGATTTCGATATTTAATTGGAAAATTCCAAAACGATTGTGTAATATTTGTTGAATGAACGCGTCTCGGCCATGAATTCATCGCTTTAATATTGTTTCATTTTCTTCCGATTTGTTTTATTTCGTTGGTATGCTGTGCAGTGCCCGATAAAACTATTGAAAAAATCGAGTATCCATTCTGTAACACTGGCAACATGGATGCTGAGAAATTCCAGCAGTATCGATACTATTTGGTGTTCGTACAGGTTTGTATTTGTTTTCTGCTTAAATCGCTTTTTTCCACATTGAGATTAAATTCCGTTGTTTTGCATTGAATTCGTTTGGATTCTTTGTGTGGCGAACAGCTTTGGACAGTTTCATTTTCTATTATAAATCAAAATGCTATGAAAATTCCTGTGCATTGTCTTTGAAGACAATAAAAAAATATCGATTGAAAAATGGGTAAATAGCAACGAACGCAGCAAAATTCGAAAATGACTTTCGGCCGCGTCGCGTGTCGAATAAATTTCGTGAAAGCCTTTATTTCACGCTGTTGCCGTTAAATGTGTTGTGTCATTTCTTCGTCGTTATTCGAAACAAAGTAATATGAAATGGACGAAAACGTACACAATAATGCTGCATCGGGTTGTTGATTCACTTCGTCGAATCAATAACGATCAATCGCTATTGATTTATGTTATGATTGCGCGTAAAATGGCAATTTTAAAATACAATCAATGCACATTTGTTCAATATCGCTTTGATTCCGTCTAGTCGTTCAATATAAATATGTATGACTTGGAGACAGATTCATTTCGATGAGATCATATTTTGATGTTCAGCGATGCAATTTCGTTACTCCCAAAGCTGATTATAGGATTACTTTTTTTTTGCATATACCGAGCTTGTGTCGTCAGCTGAGCTTCATATGACTTCTGAGACTGTATTATTGATATGATGATATTATCAATCGATAATTTCAAATCAAGTCAATCCCATATCAAGTCAATCCAAATTCGCTCTCCATCATGTAGATCGGTTGCATTTAAATAATTCGATTCGTATGTTGCTTGCTGATTTCAGTCTGATTGTCTTCTCTTGTTCCCTATCGTTACAAAGTTATGATTGATTTTGTTCTTGTGTTTCATTTACTGTTTAGTATTTCATTCCATTTGGAGTCATCAGCTTTGTCTATATTCAAATGGCCATTCGATTGTGGGGCTCGAAAACTCCAGGAAATGCCCAGGATACACGTGATATAACATTGATGCGAAATAAAAAGCGGGTAATTATTCATTTGGCTTCATTCCAATCGTATTTCGTGGTTAAGAGTGCCTGAAGTCAATACAACGTATTGGCTTTTGATCACCGAATATACGTACACATGAAAATTGTTTAAATATATCTAATTTTTGCATTCGAAGCGCGATTTTTAAAGAAATTGCTAATGTTGACTATTTTCAGGTCATTAAAATGTTGATTATTGTGGTGCTATTGTTCGGAATTTGCTGGTTTCCACTACAATTGTACAACATTTTGCACGTCACGTGGGATGGTGTCAACGAATATAAATACATCAACATCGTATGGTTCTGCAGTGATTGGCTTGCAATGAGCAACAGTTGTTACAATCCATTCATTTACGGCATTTACAATGTAAATATTAATTATAACACATTATTTATTTTCAAATGTATGCGAATACTTACGAGTTTACTACTTGATTTTGAATACGATTCCTTGAAAATGGCCTAAATACTGAAACAATGTTTGCATATCTAATGAATGGTTTTTTGTTGTTCTTGTATTTACGTTTTTTTCTCTCTCTCTCTCTCTCTCTCTCTCTCTCTCTCTCCATTCTAAAGGAAAAGTTCAAACGTGAATTTCGGCGTCGGTTTCCTTTATTTCGCTTCACATTCGAGCATACGGACGTAAGTGAGAAGAATGTCTCGATGTATACACGCGCCAGTTCAATTCGCTCAAATTACACGACCACATCAACCAAAACGAAATTCATGATTCCACAGCGCATTGTTGGTGGAAACGATTCACTACAGCATTATAATGCGCTTCACATTGCCGATCCGCCAGTCGTCAAGAACAACAATGTAATGAACGGAAATCATAATTGGACTGTAAAGTCATCATGGCAATCAGCATTCAATCAGTCACCGGTGGTGGCAAATGGTACCGTTGTCGAATGGCAGGATAAGAAATGTGTTTGCTTTTCAAAAATCTATTGCAAGGGTACGGATCATCCGGGCTGCACCGCCACCACCACCACAACGACAAAGACGACGGCGATACCGTTGACATCGGCGCAAAACAATAAAAACGCACTGCTTGAACCATTAACAAATAACGTAAAAACCGGTTCAATCTATTCGCATGACACGGCGAAAAACTGCTGTTGCTGCTGCCAAGGGCGAAAAACTATTTGCAAAGATAACAACATTTTCGACAGTGAACTGTGCTGTATGCCAAAAACGGCAGCCGAATGGGAACAAGTGAACTTGTGCAAGGCGGAATGTAGTGCCAACAATAAACATTTTAAATGCGACGAACGTGACGAAGACATCGACGACAATGATGGCGACGATACGGATTTTCGAAATGAAATCATTCGCATCAATAACATTTATAACAATTGCAATGCAAATGCAAATACCAACGCCAATGACAATGCCAATACCAATGCCGAAGCGGTGCCCGGCGAGAATTTTCACTTGCACGGTTTCAACAATTCGTGTATATCATTGAGCAAGTATAAAAACGATATTAATCTGTGATTTTTATTGAATGATTAATTGATTGCTGTGTGTAGTAAGTGTGAGTACTGTAACATGAAATAAAAGAAGCCCAGAAATTGCATTTCCCTTCGAGGGAAATGTGTAGAAATTTACTGAGCAGTGAAAATCAATCGATGTTTTCTCGATATTTGATCGTCGTGAAACTTGCCATCACGTCTCGTGTTAGTTTATGTCCTTCTCCCCCTTCAAACCAAACCCCTACTGTATTTTTCTTAATTTAAGAGTATCGATGTTGGAGGTCTGAAAAAAATTGTTTCAGAAAAAAAAACAAAAAAAAAAAACAAAAACAGAAGTGTTGACGAGGCGAAAGAGATTAAGTACAATGTACATATGCTCTTTTTTTATTTATATGAATTTATTGTATAACTGTATGTTCGGTTTTAAAAAACCAGAGAAAAATTAACAACTTTACATAAATTATAAAATCTTACCTATTATTTTTCACATTGTTCAATATAAAATTGAATTTGTCAAAAAATTTGCCGATAGAATGAACACATTCAGAATGGAATTTCGCTTCTGAAATTATTTTTGTTAATCAAAGCTATACGGATTGAAATTTATTTGCAAGAAATTAGTTGGTAAAATGTCATTTGGTTAAGAATCATAGTTATTTTATATGTTCGTTGGAACAAATGTGAATCAAACAGATCAAAATAAAGTTTAAATAAAGAACAAAACCATTAAATACTGAACAATTTGTTGAGCTTTTTTTCTATTCCAAAGATAAGCTTTACATCAATTTCAAATCTATATATACAGTACTTGAAAAGGAGGCGTATTACTTGTAAGGCGGAGCTTCTAAAAAGTTCTCAAAGCTTTTATTTGCTTACGCCACGTCATAAAGTCCAATATCCCTTTTATAGAAAGCTTTCGGTTTCTCAAAGTTCAATTTTAACGAAAAGTCCCCATTTCCCTTAGTTTCTTTTTCTTAATATTCTGAGAATCACGAAGCAAGCTTAAAATCAAAGGGAAAAGTTTGTTAAACCAGCTAATTCCATGGGATAATTAATTCTTCCACATAACCTGCTGACTTTCAAGTGCAACGCTTTAGATTTATTTGAGCGTAAACTTTAAATTCATAGGGAAAGTGCCACAATACATTTCAAATGCAAGTCATTTGACACATAGCAGTCAATGCCATCTCAATTCCAACTCATTGAATCATTGTATTTTTCGGCAACTTTTTTCAAACGTGTATGGCTTTACTAGAATATAATCAACCTTACGGCGACGCTAACTAGCTTCTCTGTGGGCCGGTACTACACGTTAGCCAAAACGTATTGATGTTTCGCAATGGTTACTCGATGCATTTGCCAAAATACTATGATTTTTGTACTCTCTTCTACGATGTGTGTGTGTGTGTGTGTGCAGAGAAGCTGCTAGTGTCGCCGTAAAGTTAATTATATTCTACTCAAGTCACATACGATTGAAAAAAGTTGCTCGAAATATTCGATGATTCAATAAGTTGGTTTAGAGATGTCATTGGCTGTCTTTTGTTATTCCGGCAATATATTTATGTTTAAATTAGCTAAATCTCTTCACAATAGCTACTCAAAACTTTGCAATATATTTTTTTTTAGTATAATTTGACCAAAAGTTTCGTGTAGAATGGTTTTTGCGATCGATATACCAATTTATTTCGAGAAGAGATTAAACAATTACACTATAGTGTATACATTTATTTGGGTGAGAAAGTTTTTTTTTTGGGTTTGGTTTATGTCTTCTTCTTAAATTCGGCATAAATTTTATCTACTTCACAGGCAATTACCATTAAATTCGGAAATAATTGAGAGCACAAACAGTAAAGTGTTTTTCAAATGGAGAGAGATAGAAAAATGATTACGCTAACTGAACGGATGTACACATTTTGTTAAAATAGCGAGTGCAGAGAAAAGATATATAGAAGTACGGTATCGCATTTGAGGTTTTTTTCATTTGTATTTTACTTGTATTGTTGTTGTTGTTGTTGTTGTCTAGCCCAACAGCAATTTCATAATGTACTTGAATACTACTGAACTGCTCAAAAATAGGAACAACATATATGCTGACGACTTGAATAGAATGTGCAGAATTTTTAATCTGAAAATTGAAAATCATCACAAATTAGTCGATGGTGGATGCAATCACATACATGAAAGAAAAAAAAAGAAAGAGAATTATCTAACATAACATACCTGCCGTAATGTTTGATGCACTTTTTATCAGCTACCGATTCTTTGAAAAAATACTTCTTAATACCGGGCAGATAGTGGAAAAAGTATTCGTCCCAGTCAATGGTTCGCATATCGAATTCCAGAAAAGTTTGCGCGTTTCGATAAAATTTGTTGTTAGCCGTGCACTTTCCGTTGATCATGTCATTTTTCGTCGGCGTTGAATTCATGCCATTTTGCCATCGAATTAAGCCGGTTGACGCGTTGTGTGTTTGCAGTTGGCGTGCCGGTTGCGATTTCAATAAAGTGGCCAGTTGATCGATATTTTTATTGCAGAATTTCCACTCACGTAGCCCAAAGAATGACATCATCGACAAAACACGGTGCAACTTTTGATAGTTTCTGGCATTTCTGTGACACAAAGTACAAAGCAGACAGAAAACGCAATTTGTGAACAAATTGAACAAAAGAAAAAGAGACGTGCCTTTAACCATATCATACTTTCGTTTCTTTCCCGTAACAAATGCCAACAGATCCATAATGTAAGCAGGCACTGCGTGTAGAAGCACATCGCAAACGTTGAAAAGCGGTTTCCATGATATAATTATATATGAATAGTACCTGTACCGGGATAATTAACGGAATTTTCATTTACAAAACAATTGCCGGAGCGTTAAAGCGCTAAAATAAACAAACACGAAAAAATGACACCTCAAATATATTAAAGCCAGAAGAAAAAAAAATGAAAAGAGCTTTCGTTCATGGTTGAAATAGATGGAAAAAAAAACCTGATGACTTTTTACCATCTTCCTTTGAACTAGACAAAGAAAAACCACTTTCAAAGGGACGATTTTAATCTGGATAGCATGTCGTTTTTTTCATTCTTGGTTTATTTGATGCGTCGTTTTTGTCTGTCTCAAAATGGATTATCTTTCAAATATCTTGTGTTTTGAATAGTGCATTAAAGTGTTTTGTATGAATGGTGTGTGTGGGTGTCTGTTTACACATTTATTACCAGACGGCTTTATTTAGCGGCTCATGTAATCCTTTTCGCACGGAATCCATATAACTGCCCCAAGTTAAATTATTTTTATCATAAATATAATTGTAGACAGGTATTTCTGTATGATTTTCCATTCGCGATTTGAAACTGTGAATAAAAAGCAAAACAAAATCCAGTTTTAATTCAATCTACTGGAGAGATAGAGAGAGAGATGGAAAAGGAGTATACAAGAAGATAGTTATTATGTGGCATATCATTTTATGTTACGTAAAAAGTCTGTTTAGTTTTAATCTATCTTTAACATTCTTATTCGAACAAAAGTCGTGCGTCAACTATAGCAACTAGCGTTTCTATGTCGATGCCAAGGAAAACGATATTCTTTTCACATTCGTAGCGTGACGCTTTCGTTAACATACTATAAATGTTTAAGAAGGTAAAGGAAATAAGATTTCATTTACGGTTATCAGAAGAAGAATGAGTAGCGTTTGAATTGAACGTGGTCGTTTAGCTATTGACACTGTTGAATCTATCGTTTCGTGACGAAGTGTGCATAAAAATTCAATTGACGCATTTGGTTAATAGACATTTTCCCCTTAAAATTACAATGTACTTCAGTCAAAAAGGTCAAAGTGTCCTACTTCCTCCCTAACTGAGATGGGTTATTTAAAATGAGGTTTTCCAATAGAAGACTATTTCCCTAACTGTTGGCGTAGCTAATTTGGGTTTAGTATTCCGAATTATATCTGTGTGTGTATATATTATGAAATGTACCGTTGATTTATGTCCCATGCAGCTGATATCATGGCATTGACGCAGTAATCGGCTGGCACTAGGTTAGCTTTCTTGTTGCCATTGCCAAAAATAACGTGCACAACTCCTCGAACACAGCCCGAGCAAATGCCAGACGGACCATATAAGTTGTCTGTCCATCCTGCCACTGGTTCCTTGTATGTTGAGAGAACAATCGGTGGTCGAAATATCCCAGCTGGGAGGCCGTGTGCTTTGTGATTAACTAGATTCTCCGAACATTGCTTTGTCATTGTGTACGTGTTTGGCATTCTCCCGACCAAACAGTGATGAATCTTTTCCAAATGTGAATCGTCTAAAATTCTAGTGATCTGTAAGCATAAAAAACAATCGACTTTAGTGACATTGTTGGTAAATTGAAACAACACTTTATCGACGCGTATTTATAGCATTTAATTCAAATATGCACGTGCACAACTCGGTATTATTATTATAGAACGGAACACAAAAATACGTATATTTTTAGACGGATGTAATTCAGTTGCGGACACTTTCTGTGACTTACCACATTTTTCCACAAAATTAACCACCACAAGCAATATACTCACAACAAATATGAAGCAACACAGAAAAGTATGCATGCAATCATTCAATCAAAAAGAGCATCTACAGTACTGTGTAGGTTCTTGTGCATGGATTAATAATCACCGTACAACAAATTTCAACTTTTGCTCTCACACATGGACACTTTAAATGCAGGATGTTAGGGGACCTAAAAACAAACAAAACTGCATACTACGATTTC